ATCATTTATCCATATATATCATACGTTATTGTCCAAAGTCGTCCACTAAAGACAAAAAGACAAATTCATATGCAAAATGATATATATATATATATATGATATATTTATATAAAATTTTTACAATTCATTTTTTCATTATGAATGATCGAAATTTATTATAATTTATTATATAAAAAGACAATTATCTTTAAAATATAATATAAAAGGTAGATAAATTTCATTTATTTTTTTTAAAGTTATAAATAATCAAAATTTTATGTAAGTAATATGTGTTGAAAATGGTTAGTACACTCTTTAATTCAACATACTCCACAACACTTGGTGATTCAAACCATAAAATCGATTGTTTTTAGTTTTCTCACATTTAATTCAAATTTGAAAATAACAATTTTTTAATGAGTATGTTGTAAAGTATGATAAATTAAAAGTTGTTCCAATTATTGTCTAATTTGTGTTATAGTTTTGTGTAAAAATGGATCCTAACTCTATATATGTATATATATATGGATTACTGTAGTATAGGTAGTCTTCTTAATTTTTTTTTTTTTTTTGAGGTCTTGCTTAAAAACTCATGTTCTAATTTATATTTTTAAAAACTAATTGTAAATTAAACGTTTTATTCATGCAGATTATGCATACAAATTTTTATATTAGTCTACGAAAATGATTAGTATACTATCCAATTCAACATAGCTTTCAAAACCTACCCGATTCAACTGTTAAAATATAATATAAGTACAGTTGATTTAGTCGGTTCTTGCATGCTATATGTCTAGTTGCATCTCTATATTTGTTTGCCTTTAATTTTATATTAAAAAATAATAATTTTTTAATAAGTGTATTATGTAATATATTAAACTGAAATGTATACCAATTTTGTCCATTAATCTAACATTTACAACCCTTTGATAAAAAAAAACTCTATTTACTGACATATATTTAATGGTGTTAGATTTTGTATAATCAACAAATTGGTTAAGTGCTAGATCAATATGAAAATTAATTTGAATAATCTATATGAATAGAATTTTTGTTTTAACTACTAAATTTTAAAAATATTAATTAAAAAATAAGTTTTTTAATAGATTTTCCAAAAAAATTTAAAAGGATACCGTATCAAACACTAATATATATATGTGTGTACATGTTAACGTAGTGTCAGTTATTTTTTTTAAGGACTTGTCTAAAAATTCATTTTCAAATTAATATTTTTAAAAACCATTGTTAAATTGAAAATTTTATTTTTGTAGATCATAAATGTTAAATTTTATATTGTTATAACATTTATTATTGTTAAATTTTGTGTAATTATCGAACTAGTTAGGCCCAGTAGTTTAATATGAAAATTGATATATATAATTTATATAAATAAAATTTTCAATCTAGTGATTAGTTTTTGAAAATATATATTAATTAGAAGATGATTTTTTAGACATGTTCATTAAAAAAAATTTAGAAAAACGACCTGCAAAACACTTTTTGCTATAAATATAGTTAATTTTTAAAAATATTAATTTAAAGATAAATTTCCAGATAATTTTTCTAAAAAAAAAAATTTGAGAAGATAATTTACACTGCACTAATTTAAAATTACATAATAAGAATAATATTCTCTTTTATGTTTTTATCGACTCTACTTGTATACATGCTTACTATTCAAATCAAGAATATTATTTTTTCTAATACTTGAAGGAGAAATTACTATTAAAACGTTTAGATGGTTGACAAATGATATATATTCCAGAAGCCGAAAACTAAGACAAAGAAAGAGGTCTCATCTTCGACTCCTACTCATGTTTTTTTGTCAAACCTTTGCTTATCATACTTTATTTCGATTTTCCCAAAAGTCAAATTATCCTGCCTTGGGACACGCCATAATTAGGAGCACGTCAACTTGGAAATATAATTGGGACTGGTCTTCTTTGAATGATAAATGATAAATGAATTTTTCTAATCTATATCCTAAAGGCATAGGTTAAAAAAGTATTAATTACATTTTTTTAAAAATTAATTTATATAGAAAAAAATAAAAATTGACTTTAAATTCATCAACTACCAAATTAAAATCATCGAAATAATATTGGTGTTAAAAATAATATCTTACTGTTACATTTTTCTATAAAAATTTATTACAAAACAATGCATTTAATGCACTTTAAGGGCACAAGTTAGATAAATCCATGATAAATTAGCATTTAGTATTATTAAGTGGTTGACTAATTAATGGATGGGTAAAACTTAATTAGTGTTAAGTTCTCAAACTTATCCTATATTAAAGTGGAAGTCCCTCAACTAAAAAAATGTGTGTCTAAACTCTCAGCACTACAATCAATGACATATATACATTGATTTTGAGTTACAAAATAAGTAGACAATCTATAACTCCTCATATACTTTAATGAATAGATTATAAATTAAAGTCCTTTATTTTAAAGTCTTAGAGACTAAATTGATTAAATTTAAAGTTTGAAAGTTTTAAGTGAAATTTAGTAGAAATTGAGAGATGTCTAAATTCATTATGTTATTTACCAAGCAAATTCATGCTTGGACTTAGAAAGTCTTACAAGATCCATGAACAGGCTTCCTTTGGAAGATTTCACATCAAACCAAACCCAATTCCTCTGCACCTTTCAGTATTAGCCGAATTGGTGTGTTGGGGCTGTGAGGGGATACATTACTTAGTTGAATTTTCTTGTAATTTTTGAATTCTTCCCTTATTTGGTGCTTTTATTTTTATGGATAAGTATGAGTTTTAGCTATGGATTTGCATTAGAGCTTTGGGTAGGTTATAGACTTGCTACAATATACTAAGAATTAGCTTGAGTTAGTGAAATTTGACCTTAAATCCTTTATTTAAGAGACTTTTGGGGTGTTAGAATTCTGTTAGAAATATATTAATTTTTGGGTACTTGTATGGGTCTTGAAACTAGAAGTAGCTTTTTTTCTATACTTGAATTTTTTGTGAATTTTATTGTTAAATAATTTGCTATGGTTGTTTTGTGTTACCCAACATATTTTGTGTAAAGATTTTTGAGAACTTGCATGATACAACAAAATTTATATATTTATTAGGAATTTTGAGTGTGATTCGTAGCTTTGGGCACTTGAACTTTTGATGATTTTTCATGTATTAATTGCTTTGTCATAATAAGTTAGTTCCCAATTCCCAATTTTGTGGATGGAACTTGTGAATTAGCATTAGGAAATTCATGTTAATAGCTTCAAAAATGCATTTGCTTAAGTGGATGACTAAGTGCTATATTTTGTATGTTTTAACCATGAGGTTAAGCAATGTGAATTGTGTAAAAATTTAAATGAATTAATAAATGGAATTTTATTCCTATATTATTTTGGATGTGTTTTGAATATGTTTGACATGTGTATGTGTTTGCAGCTTTGGAGTAAATGGATCTAGGCTTAAAGGTTGGGGTATTCAATGGACCTTCAAGGGTAATTAATGGACGTCTATGCAGTAGGGTGAGTGTCATGATTAGCCTCGATACAAGTGTTGCTAGCATACATTAGTGGACTCTATAGCAATGTGTGATTTAGTAATATGGATTCTACTTGTGACATTCCATTTGTGAGCATATAGTTTTATGATATGAATTTGAATTAGTTGTCATTGGTTTTTCTTTGACATATTTGATTGTTTTTGAATTATTTTGTGACATATTAAGTTATTATTTAAATAATAAAATTTGTAATATTATGTGGCTTGGTTTAATTATCTATTATGCTCTCTATGTGTGTGGATCTAAAGGTCATAAGACCCAAGTTTATAACTTTAACTTAATACTTACTGACGTTTAGCTCATGATATTTCCATCCCATTTTAGATTAGTAAATTGGAGTAGCAACCACCCAACTTAAGAGCTTTTGATATAGGTTGCATATGCTTGTTGTACGTAAAAGTTAGGACCTCAATGTTTTTGATGTGAAGGCAAATCGATGTGTTGGCAAATCGATATGTTACCAAAATGATGTTTTTACTTTTATTATTTTGGAAAGTTTTTGAAAAGCATTTGCTCAGCTATTTTTGTGTAAATTGCTTTTATGTCTATAACCTATAAATTAATGAATATGGGTTCAACCTTGGTTATTTCACATCTTTGAGCACTTTAAGATCTTTCTTTAAGATATTTTTTGCTAAATTGATTTTGCATTTACAAGTAGGTTATTTAAAGAAGGAAGTACTTTATACTTTATAAATATTTTTACTTCTGCTACATTGTTATCTAAGGTTATCATTTCAGGACTCCTGTGAGATTGAGGACACCCAAGAGAGGTGTATTTCATGTTTTGGTATTTGACCCAGAGTTTTGCTAATACATTGATTTGCCATGTGGATTTGAGTCTAGTGTCAAAGAATTAGATTTTGCCTAATTATTAGTTTTTTCAATCTTTGCTTATATCAGTACCAAAGGAGAAAAATGAGTTATGGAGGTAATACTTCTACTCTTACTACTATTGATGATGTGAATGCCAGAATGGATGTAATGCAAAAGGTCATCACATATATGAGTTATGTTTTCAAGGAGTATCTTCTGCACTAGAACAACAATAATGTCTTACAAAAAACTAGTGGTAGTTCATAGCAAATAGTAAACTCGAAAGAAGGAAATGAAAAGCCAGCATTAATGAAGCAATTTTAGAATATAAACCCTCCTCCCTTTAAAGGAGTTCCTAATCCTAATGTGGTGAGACTTAGGTTAAGAAACTAGAAAAGATGTTCAAGCTCTTGAAGTGCACTAATGAGCAGAAAGTGAAGTTGGCAATGTTCACACTAAAAGGTGAAGTTGATGATTGGTGGACAATAGCTCAAGATGGGTTCACTAAGAAAAGGGAGCA